GGGTGCCGCCGGGGCCCGGGGTGACACACGCGCGGTGTCCTCAAAGCTGAGGCGTGCCCGAGCACGTGGCGGTGCCAGTTGCCTCCGTTTTGCCTGAAAAGTTAACTTTCTGGTAAAAAAAAAAAAAAAAAAAAAAAAAAAAGTAGGAAAGAGACAGGAACGCTTGCGGTGTTGGTTTTCACTTGAATTTGATGCCCTTTGCATCCACGGAAAATACAGTAATTTCGGTAATAACGAGATAATTGCCTGTCACTGCTTAATGTACATAATTGTTATTTGTTCTTGATACGATTCCTTAATGCAAAGGTTGGTGGAAGGCAGCTGTCGTAAAACTTGTGTTTATTCAGTGAAAGGCTGGTCACACCAGGCCCTTAAGCAGTGGGGACGCTCCTTGGCAGAGCCATGGGTCAGATGTGCTCAGGTGGATGCCCCAAAAACCATACTTGAGAGAGGGGCCTGCAACAAGATGTTCCTGTGGTTTAAATTTCCCCTAACTGAGGTGACGCGGTTGAAACTTTATGCAGAAACTGTCAAAGCAGTCACTTTGGAAAAGAGATAAGGACATCCCAAGGAAAGCACGATGACCAGGGCCTTGCCAAGGACCGGCTGTACGAGCTGGAGGTTAGAGCTGCTCCGCAAAGTTGCTGAATAGGAAATTTTTCAAATCCTGAGAATATTAATAAGGCAGGGAAGTTGCTTGTCTTTAGCTCTAGCCTGGAGGGCTGTGCTCCTGGAACCACTGCAGGATGTTGCGTCATTTTCTTCAGTGGGCATTTGTCTTTGCTGCTTTTGTGGAAGCTGGGATACCCTCTGTACCTTTCCACAAAAAGGCATACTTACATTTCTTTCAAAGAAAAAGCTCACTTCTTGCTGGATTCCTGATAACGGCACCAGAAAGGTCTGAGCGTGTTGTTAATAGAAGGACAAGATGATGACATCTGTGCAGGGTTCAGAATTTGTATTCTTCAGCAAAAGGTTCAGTTTCAGCAGCTGCATTAGAGTTTAAAATCAATTTAAGTCCATTAATGGTACTTACTAAACAAGTTTTAAGTTGTTGATCCCTGTGTCCAAGAAGAGAAGGTGGCTGATAAACTGGGCTAGGGTTATTTCTGAGAGGATGAAAACAGCTTTCCTTGTGTTGGTAAAATTTATAATCATGTGTATGAAGTCTGATAAAGCTCTGGAAGGCTCCAGAGATGGGCCTTGTTCTGTACAGCCTTACTAGTAGAATTGTTGACCTGAGGAGGCTCTTTGAAGAATCAAATTAATTCTGCAGAAATCATTATACATGTCTGAAGAAGGCACCAAAAAGTTTATTTTAAAATTTTGTCTAAACCTGCCTCTCTATCCAAAACTACATCCGTTTCATAGGTACCTTTCCTACAAAATAGCACTGACCTTCTAAGGAGGAAAATACCTGTTTCAAGACGTCTAGAACTTTTGTCAATATACCTGAAGCAGTCATTTTAATTTGAGAGATTTCTTTTGTTTATTTTCATTAATGTGTCACATGCTGATGTCCTTAATTCCAAAAACCAGAATTAGAATTTTTTCATCTCATCTGTTCTGCGATTTATTTCCGTGCTGACAGATTTTACATTTACTTTCTTAAATAAATATGCACTGCTTTAAGCTTCTTTTTATAAACAGCACTTGTAAATCAAACATCAACATCAAAGATGTTCACTGTAAAATAACTATTCTTGTTTGGAAGGCAGTGCACTAGAAGTCTCACCTTTCCAAGATTATGGTATGTTTATATCCTGCTTTCAGCATAAATCTGAGCATAAGTTACTGCATTTGACCTGTGGCACAATTAATTAATTCATTGTTTTCAATGAAAAGACAAACAACATGTCATACTATTACAAGAAAGCAAATCAAAGGAACCAAGCAAAACAAGAAAACACGTGAGCCAGCACACACATGCAATAATTTTTTGCCTTTTATTTGTTCATAACATTCAATATTTTAGATTGCACAACTTTACATATTAAATACAGTCCTCTTCCCTCAAAGGAAAGAGTAAAGAAGAAAAAAGGGATCTAGACAAGCTTTTGAAATAAACACTTATGTATATATCAATCAGTGGCAAAATTCCTATTTTAGAAGTTCCTATATCCATTCCAATGTAATTATAATTTTAGAAATATCTTTCATTTGCCTTTGTATAATTGGATTTAGTCTTAAGTGTCATTAAGACTAACTGTTGTATTACTTTTTTTAGAGAGTTACTTGTCCTGGAGGACCTCACAAGAAGTATTAGGTTCTCAGTAAAGTCACCTGTATAGTGTTCAGACTCTTCAGAACAACTCAGCTGAGTAACTCTGCATTTTGTACTCTCAGTAGTTTTTCATTCTTCATGTAAAATGTCTGGAAAACCTGTTCCAGATAATTGGCTTCCATGGGACACCGTACACTTTACAGCACTGTACGGTTTGACCTTTGTATCAGTCTCTCTTGTCCATACCACCCGCTGGGTGCTGCGTCGCCTTACACTGCAGGCTGGGTCTGCATCTGGAGAAAGTGAAGGGGTATCACTCCTGGTTTGTAACATTTTATTTCTACCTGTGAGAGCAGTGTAGAACAAAGCCCTGAATGTGTGTCACAGGAATACATGTAATTCCCGATCCGGGGAGAGCAATCGGGTCCCCTTCACTTGCTGCTTTCCAGTTCACCACAAAGAGCTACTCTGGAAGCAGCCAGAAACACTCCTTTCCCCCAGGCTCGAAAGCAATCCTATCTGGGAAGATCTACCCTGCTACTTGGCTGAGAGACAGGATTCAAATAGAATTATTTCATATGACATGCTGATGCCAGGCTCAGATCTGGATTTTTCTTTCTTCGTCTTTTTTCAACCTCAGACTCACAAGTTCTTCAGAAATCTTGGTTTAATTGAACATTTAATTGGGCTTTGGAGTATCAGTAGTGTATGGAGTTTTTGATTTTCATTCCTTTAGGTTAATGTAGCTAATTTACGTTTCTTTTCAAGAAGGTTTAAACTGTTCCCAGCAGACAGTGGAAAGCAAATGCTGAGAAGTCTTGATGTGAAGAGAGAATTGTATATGTTTATATGCCAGTAAATGAAACCAGACCTCTATATGACTATTCCTTGCTATCATACTGCTGTG